GAGAGAGAAAAAGAAAGAGAGAGAGAGAGAGAGAGAGAGAGAGAGAGAGAGAGAGAGAGAGAGAGAGAGAGAGAGAGAGAGAGAGAGAGAGAGAGAGAGAGGGAGAGATAGATAGATAGATAGATAGATAGAGAGAGAGAGAGAGAGAGAGAGAGAGAGAGAGAGAGAGAGAGAGAGAGAGAGCAATGATAAACACCCCACCCACTCACACACAAGAATGAAAAATCACTGTCATGTAAAAGTTAACAAGTCAATACATGACCAAAATATGTATCACGGTCAAACACAAAAATAAGTCTTTCTCTTCTCTTCTCGAACCGTAAATCAAAGCATAATTAGGTGGTCAGTTTCCAAACGACGCACCGATACGTAATTTCAACATTTCACGATCACTAAAATCCTCCTTCACATCGACCACCCACACTATCCACCAACTCACTACACGATTTCAAATCCAGAGTTCAATCGGAATGATAACCACGTGTCCTCCTCTTTTAGAATTAATGAGAATAAAAAAATACCGGAATCCAACCCGTTTCCGCTAATAATACAACTGATGCAAGAGCAGGAAGAGACTTTCAGCTTGGCACCCACAGGCGTCAAAGCGAGACTGAAGATCCGGCGGCTGTGGGCGCTGAGGAGCACAGCACGGAGGATGAGTGTGTAAAAAATCTTCTTAAATTTCTGTTACGACTTAACGGAGAAGGAACTATTAGCTGTCCCGTTGCGGAGGATTTGCACCGGCGGGAAGGTGAGGAATGGGCGGGTCGTGACTGGCGGGTTTTATTCGTGGCTCGTGAACGGGTAAGAAAAAAATTATTGTCATCGGAGAGAGAATTATGACGGAAATTCCCTCACATCTTATTTTATCATTTTTCAGAAATTGATTCGGAGAGAGGATTATGACTCAAGGTCCCGCGTATTTTTTTTTCTTAATTTCGTTATGAAAGGTTTTACGGATCTTTCGGGTTAAAAAATCTTGACAGAAGTGAGGGGCGTACAGAACGTTTCTCTCACGCTTTTCACTTTTCTCATTGACAAAGGTATAATACGAAAAAAATGTGTGAACACGAATGATTAAAATGAATCAGTTTTCTACAAGTACTTCACGCTGAGATGACGAGGAACCGTTCGAGGTCTTGATGAAATTATTTATCGGCTTCTTGTGAAAACCGTTAAGGAGGAAATTTATGACTATATTTCAGTCGGGAAGGATTTGCGTGGGAATGAGAAAAAAAGAACAGCTGTCTGCTAATCACTTCAACTATTTGACCTTCCATGACTGTGCTGTATGTCTGTCTGCCTGATTGTCTGTCTGTCTGTCTGTCTCTGTCTTTGTGTCTGTGTCTGTGTCTGTCATTGTCTGCCTCTCTCTCTCTTTCTCTCTCCCTCCCTTCCTTCCTCCCTCTCTCTCTCTCTCTCTCTCCCTCTCTCTCTCTCCTCTTCATTATCTCCCCCTCCTCCTCCTCCTGTCCTCTCGCACCCTACTTACGCTCATCTTCCGGATAGCCAGCATCCCGATACAGGTCATCACTGTATCTCTCGTTGCTGTTGTATCCGCCGCCGCTGCTACTGCTGCTGCCGCTGCTGTAACCCCCGCTGTTGCCGCTGTAACCGCCGCTGCTGCTTCCTCGATTCTTGCTGTAACTGCCGCTGCCGGAACTACTACTGCTGCCGCTGTACCCATTGCGGTTGGCTGAGAGGGCGAAGGAAAATATTTTGGATGGTTAGTTGCGGGGCTGAGCTGATTGTCGCCGTTGTGGCTGCTGTTGTTGTTTCGTGTGTTGATTGTGCAGCTGCGGTGTCAGGAATTGCGCGGTTGCAACATGTGATTGTGTGGCTTTGCTTTGTTTTGTATAATGGAGGCTGTATGTTGCTAAATTGTTTTTTTTTTTACTTATTTTTAAAGATTACGTGTTATATGATAATTGTAAAAAAAGCAAGAGAAAATCTATAACAAACATTCAGAAAAAAATATTTCTTATCCCCCCCTAAAAATAAATAAAAACCGCATAATTATAAAAGAAAAAGAAAAGAAAGAAAAGAACATATATAATAATGATAATAATAATAAAATAAGAATAAACAGAAACACAAATGACAACAACACAATATAAATAAGAAGAAACAAGAATAGAAAAAAAAGGAAAGAAGATAACAGTAATGGTGATAAAATAAGAATGAAAAAAAACACAAATAATAACAAAAAGCAAATATGAACAAACAAAAATATGTAGGTAACAAAAAGAGAAAAATAAAACTAGAAGAATATAAAAAAGAAAAAAAAAACTACAAAAAGAAGACAATAAAGAAATAAATAAGAAAAAGGAGAAAAAATAGATAAATAAATAACAAAAGGATGAAAAACTAGAAGAAAATGAATATCTAAATAACAAAAAAATTGAAGAAGAAACTCAAGAAATAAACAACAAAAAGACAAAAAGCCAAAAAAAAAAAAAAGAAGAATCTAAAGAAATAATAATAATAAAAAAAACCCACA